TATCTTAACTGCATTACTGTATAATTCTGTGTAAATAATCATTCTGTACAATATTTTTAATTCTACAACTGTTTATAACCTGCATAGTTCACATTTCTGTATAGCTGTATATCTCATATTTCTGTTTAGTTTTTTATTTCATATTCTGTATAGTTTTTCATATTTATATCCTGTTTAAAAACAGGGGTAGAAGACACAAGGGGAATCTAATAAACAATGAACTATAATAAACTATAACAAAGCAACCTGGGCAAAAATAGAAATGAAAACCTAAAGTACTTGAATATAAATCATGAACATCAAAATATATTAAAACTCAAAATGCTGGGTCAGATACCCAGCCCCTGACACAAACTGTCTTCAGTGCACATGTAAACATTATGAACATAGTCACTGGAAGGGACTGTAAAGCTGTTACTCTTCTATATCAAAAGAAACTAGGTGAGGTGTTTGGGACAAGACCCCAAGGAAAACCCAGGACATGCTGTCTCTGGGCTGGCTTGGATAGATTGGAAGAGAAGGCTGGGGAGAGGGAGATCTGGGCATCTCTGCTGTCCTTGATGACACATACACAGATAAGTGTCAGAAAATGGACGGACGGATAGATGGAAGGACTAAATTATTTTTTGCACACTATTGTCATTATAGTTTAGTATGAGAAATTTGGGGTAATTCTCCCTCCTTTAAACCCGCTGTGAATTTCTGTTCATAGTTTGTTTTTTCATGTTCACACACAAAACAATGATTAGAATTAGAGTTTCTTTATGAGAAAAAATAAATTTCCATAGTCTTCAAATCCAGCCATGGGAATCAGGTTTTTCTCATCCTCTTTATTGAATACAGAAATATAGTTTATTAGTATCGTATCACGCTAAAAGGAGAAACAGTTTGAATGCTGACAGTGAAATAAACTCAGGACATACTTTAATATTACTGCTGAAAAACATCAGTGATATTAATCTGTTAACTTTTCTCTGATAATTAAACATCTGCCTAGTTTACTTCTGTGTTTCACAGAATTATAAAGTCACAGTTCTGTAAGTGCCGTTAGTTTGACATACCGCTGTACTTCTTTGGTTCCTTTATCCTCTCTCCTTTTCATCTCCTCCAGTTTCTGGACCTTCTCTGTGTCTCCTTTCTCCTTCATCCTCTCAATCAGGAAGTCCAAGTGGACAATAGTGGATGCTGAATCAGCTTTCAGTGCGATCTGCTCCAGTCTGACAACATGTTGGTAGGACTCATCCAGTAACTGTGACTTCTCTGCTGTCAGCAGGTTCATTTCCTCTAAATGAACATCCTTCTCTTTTGTTGGCGGTTCGTTCTTCTGACCTTTCTTTATCCTGGTCACATATCTCCACTTTCCTTTCACATGCACTGATGCAGGACACTTCCCGGTACATGACGTGCAGAGACCATCTATAAAGACCTCACAGTGATTTAAGAGCACGGTGCATCCAGGATAGTGACAGTTCTCCTCACAGACTCCACAGCTGATAACTGCTTTAAAACCCGGCCCACACATCTCTTCTCTGATAGGTTCATTATGTTTAAAAACAACACATGGAGTAACCTCTTCATTCTTGAAGTTGTCATGTTTCTTCAGAGCTTCCTGACTCTGTTTCAACTCTCTTTCTTTCACTTCAGTGAATCTGATTCTTTCTTGCAGGTTTTGGATGCAGGCTGTCAGTCTGATACTTTCCTTTAACACTTCAGATGCCGCCTCTGGCTTTAGAGGTGTAGTTTCTTTCAGGAAGGCTGTGAACTCTCTCATTCCTCTCTCTGATCTTTCAAAATTTGGTTTCAGAAATTCTTCTTCCTCGTCTTCAAGCTGGCAGTTATTAAAGAGGAAGTAAACTGGATGACACTTCTCATTTTTGGCACATTTAATGTTTGCTGCTTCAAGAGCTTGAAGAGCGTTTTTAGGTCTGCTTCCATCTGAGTGTGTGATCAGAGCTACGATGTTTTTCTCCAAGTTTTTTCCAAACAGAGACATCACTGAATCAAAGACATACATCAATCGGTCACT